ACATGACGCGCAACATCACATCGAGTCGATCCGCCTGTGCCAAGCTTCAAGGGACGGTCGTGCCGCTATGGGCGGGACAAGCTCCTCCGCTTTCGTTTGACGTCTGCCTCGTCCAAGGTACCATTCGCGACGCCTTCCTGCTTTCTCATCGTATGTATATGGACAGACACGAATGACACGCCCCCGACGAGCTTGTCCGCCATACGAGCAGGTAGATGAGCTGAAAAAAGATGTCGTGACAGAACCCTACGGTCTAGGCACGGGGTTGGCGATTGGTGGCATCGCGAGCGCCTTTGCCATCGTGCTTCTGGTAGTCGTCCTCGACCTCAAGCGCCGCCAGTGTCAAGGCGAAGCCGCATTTGACGACGCGTACGCCAACGTGCAGCCGTCGCCGAATCGCCACGCGCAGACTGTGTACGTCTACCCGCGCAGCTCCCCGTCACAAATCCTGTACTACACTTCGTGGTTTCCTGGGGCGGCGACCGATGATTTCTTTGTCGACGACGGGTCGATCGCGGAGGCGGTTGCTGTCGAGCCCTCGTCGCAGGCCTTGGTGGCGTCCATTTAGAGTCTTTTGAAAATTCTTGTTTTGTCCCTTTTCCATAACATTTCCTTGCGTTTTAACGCTAAACAAGAGGCAAGCATTGTCGCAGCAGCTGCACGAGCTGCATGGCGGTCGGGCGATCGATGGGGTTCGTCGAGAGACAGCGCGATGCGATCGTGTGTACCCACTCGGGACTCGCCTCGTCCAACGTCGGTGTGAGCTTGCCGGACGCGACGTTGGTCAAAATGTACTGCTGCGAGTAGGCGTGGCCTGTATTCGGGTTGATCAAGCTGGCGTAAGGCACGCGGTGGGTCGACATTTCCGTCATAATGACACCTGCACAAAGTTGCACACCAGCGACACTGATATAGTCCTACCAAAGGCGTAGAGGTCGATCGATTCCGAGTACGCGTCGCCGTTGATGATCTCAGGCGCCATCCACTGGTACGTCCCGATGCCATGGGTGAGCGTGCTGTCGGTGATCTCGCGTGACGCGCCAAAGTCCGTGAGCTTGGTGCCCTATTTCCACACGATCAATCCGATGTGGTTTCGGATGGCCAGACAATATATGGAGAAACACTTGTACCTTTTTCGAGTCGAGGAGGACATTGCGGGACTTGAGGTCGCGATGGATGATGCGCGGCTCAAACGTGTGCAGATACACAAGACCGAGCGCAAGGCTCAGAAGACACTCGAGCTTTTCGTGCCACGGGTAGATCTCGGCGGGCGTCTTGGTCAAGTAGCTCCGAAGATCGCCGAGGTCCATGTACTCGACGACGCACTCGAGATCCGAGAGCCGGCGCCAGCTCGCGCCGACGAGCTTGACGATATAGGGCGAGTCGATTCTATCCCAAGTCGATGAAATAGACTCTTAGAATAGAGAGGCAGGACGCACTTGGCGAGGAGGAGGATCTCGTCGATAAAGTGCTGCGTGCTCGGCGCGGACTTGTCCTTGAGCCGCTTGATCGCGACGGCCTCACCGCCGTAGACACCGGCCCAGACTTCACCGTATGCACCCGCTGCCAACGGACGGGCGCTCGAGACACTCAGCTCGCGGAGTTCGAGGCGCACCATCCGCAGCGTCGATAAGTCGACGTCGTCGGCGTCGTCCACGGGCTGGTACGACGCGTCGTGGGTTGACGCCACGTTGGAGTTGGTTTTGGACTTAACCGATCGGCGCTTGCGCCAAAAGAGGCACCAGAACAGAAGACCGAGTCCAACAAGGCCGCCAAGGACACTGCCGACAATCACACCGACAGCTAGCGAGACGGTGAGACCGCAAACTTGCTTCCACGGGACGTACAAGTCGACGAAGACGACATAGTTGGCAAAGGCGTCGGGGTGGGTGTTGGTGTCGTCGTCGGTAGCGCTACGCGCCATCAGAAATCGATGATTTCGCTGAAGATGTCGGGTTTACCAGTGGAAGGCAATACGCAGGCCTGAATTGTATTGCTGGTGCGACCCGCCCAGAGGTACTTGATTGATCCGCGCTGGCGCGTGCACGCAGCGGCGTCAACTGTGGCGTCC